TACCGACTTCCTCTGCTGCGGCTCCTGTGCGAACAGAGGCCTGGGACAGAAAAGCTGTGCCTACGTCCAGCCACGGTGGAAGCTGGGCTCAGCCCTACTGGGTGCTTCGGCCTGCCACCTCATGGACTATGTGGGAGTGGTCGGAGTGTGGCCAGAATCTGCCCCGAGTCCCAGAAGAGGAAACCAAGGAAAGCCCCTTGCCCTGTGCCCTCAGCGTCCATCCCTTTGTGCTCAGGCTTCCGGCTCAAGATTAACAGCAGGCACCATTCACGTGCTCTGCAAACACCCACCCACTCAGTCCTCGCTGTGGCCCTTCGAGGCAGGCGCTGAGGTGTCCCCTTTCCTACAGACAGGGATCTGGGCCCAGAGAGGCTAGGACTCTTGCCCAAGCCACACAGCTGGGTCCAGTGTGCTTTCTAGCCAAGCCACACTAACTGCTGGCCTCTTCAGCTCTACTGGAGACACCTGGGCTCCCAGGGAGTGAGCACCTTCTCCCCGTAAGGCCAGGAGCCCTCTGCTCAGGAGCAGGTAAGGCCCTTCTGCCCAGGGAGGTGGGGCTAGGGTTGTGCACCCTCTCTGGGCCTGACCATGAGCAGGGAGACTCGGTTGTCCTGTCTGCCCCAGCCCTGCACTCTCCTAGCCTTCCAGGACCACCCCAGCCCAGCCTCTGCCAGCTATGGGAACATTCTCTTTCCCTCCAGGGTGCTAAAGCCCCAGGAAGGAGTGCTGACACTGTGGGAAGTCACAGCAGGCCTCCTGGCTTCGGATCAGCTCATTTGCCTACCCCAGCAGGGTGCGAGAGAAATCATAAGCTCAAACCCTAAGAAGCAGGCGCAGCTCAAGTGATTTACCTGCAATAGATTCCTTCAGTCCTCACAGCCACCTCAGGAAGTAGGAGCTGGTGGTGCCCCGTTCTATAGCAGGGGAAACTGAGACCCAGAGGACAACGACTTGCCCAAGGCCACACAGCTCATGCCTGTGGAGGGTCCAAATGCCAGCTCTGGGTTTTATGGGGTGCTCCTCTAAAACAAAAAGTGCGTCCGCTGCCTGGCGCGGTGCACTTGACATTAAGAACCATGCCGCCGGTTCCTTCCCGCTCTGACAAGGACAAGCTTCCCCAGTGGGGGCTGTGCTGCACTGTGGGTCCCTCTGCTCTCCAGGTGTGGCCAAGCAATGGGGGTGGAGGAGGGGTGGTCTGGAGGGGGACTTTGGCCCTCCCAGGCCTAGCTGCTGCTGCTTCCTGGAATCTAAGGAGGGGGAGCTGGCCTGGGACTCACTGGTGGTGACTCCCACGAAGGGCCCATGGGGGCCTCATCTGGCCTTCCCGAGGGAGCCCTGGCCAGGCCACCTGGACCCCGCGCCTCACGCAGAGCCGTTGGTGAACTACTGCCCCTTGAAGGCCCCTCCCCTTTCTTGGGGAAGCACCCAAAGCCTTCTACCTCCCAGCCAGCTCCCAAGGAAGCATAACCTCCTCGGCTTACGCCCCTTTTAGTAAGAGCCCACAGCTCCTGAGCACATTTGATGTGGCAGACCGTCCCAGGCCCTGTGAGCCTGGATGACCCTATGAAGTTGGTACTGTCCTTGCTTTACAGACAGATAACTACCCTGGGTTCCAGGGAGGTTAAGAGACTTGCCAAAGGCCACACAGCAGCCAGGTGAGGTGCAACCCAGGCAGAGCACAGAGCCTGCACTCTCATCCTGGTGCTCTGCCGCCTCCTTTGCCCTCAGGCTGCCACGGTCTTCACACTTCTCCCAGGGCCGTGTCCCTGGCCCCAGCCCAGCTACTTGGCAACACTCCTCAGCTTCATGAATGTTTGTGAGACTGCTGGATCTAGGCCCCCACCCCTTGCTGGACCCAAACTTAGAACTCGGTCCTAGCAAATCAGAACCAGGAGGAAGCCTAAGCCGAGGACTCTGGTCCAGTCCTCTGTGGACCATGGGTCAACTTCAGCCCACAGTGACCCTCGTCCGAGAGTCCTTAGCAACCCCTGAACCCTGGACTTCAGTTCCAAGTAGCATGATGCAAAGAGGTTTTTGGCAGCCGAATGCTCTGGCACAGGCTGGAGTGAGGGCGAAGATGGGGCTCAAGGTGTAAAGTGCGGCCAGGCCCAGAAGTTTGAGTTCGCATCAGCGATGAGCCCTGGAGACCCAGAGGGACGCTGCCCTGTATGAGCCGTAACCCACCTGGGGAGCCAGGGACTCACACATGCAAGACACACAGGCGAGGGTCACCTGCTGAGCAGACATTCTTTTAGCTTCACCCTGGGCCTGCAGGTCCTGATGCCAGGAGCAGGGGCCATGGGCTATGTCGAGGGGTGAACAGGCCAAGTGGGGCTGGGTGAGCTGGGGAGAATGTGCCCTGTCAGAAAAAGCCGGGTTTGGTGGGCATGGTAGCGCACACTGGGCGGGAGTGGTGCCGTGGATTCAAGGCCAGCCTGGGCTACACAGTGCGTTCAGGGCCGCCCTGAACTACAGAGCGAGACCCTGTCTCAGGAAAAAAAAAAGGCAACCATTCTTTGGGTCCGGCCTGTGGTTGCCACACTGCCTGACTTTTCAAAAGGACCCTCAAATCTTTTTCTTTTTGGAGGGGAGACAGTACAGGGATTGAAGCCAGGACCTTCGTACTGAACTACATCCCCAGCCCTTTTTTTATTTTTTGTTTTGAGATAGGGTTTCTCTAAGTCAATAAGTTGCCCAGGCTGGGCTTGAACTTGCGATCCTCCTGCCCCAGCTTCCCAGAGTTCACTACTGTGTCTGGTTCCCAAATCACTTTTGAATGTGAAGTCCCCCTACACACACAAAAATTTTTTACCATTGACAGCAAATGCAAACATGTGAAATAACCTGGATCAACCAAATGCATCTGTGAGCTGTGTTTTATAACCTGTGCTGTACAAGATCCAGAGCTCTGAGTGTGACACTTTCACCGTGGCACAGGAACGACACAACCCTGGTTTCCTGTGCAACACTCTCATGGCACATAGGGACAAACTCCCTGTCTCCAAGTCACCAACCCACCACGTGCAGCTGAAGTCAGATCAAAAGAGGCGGCGGAGGCAGAGGCTGCTGCTGAGCACCTGAGAGTGGGCTCTAGGTCAGGGGAACAGTGCATGAAGGAGGGAGGACGAGGATAACATGGGCAGCGGCCAGGAGGAGAGGAGGAGGCTGCCTGAGGGGTCAGGGCCGACCCCAGGACTGGGCTGTGCAGCTACTTTATTCTGCCCTCAGTGGGGAGCCCCTGCGGGCCAGGGGAGGGGAGGTCTTCCTCTAACAGTTTTCCCTGGGGACGGATAGTGACTCCAACCTCTGCTCTTCAGCCTTTGGTTCCACTCCCTTGCTTGTGAGGTGTGTGACAAGGACCTAGGCTCCGACTCCTTGGGGGAAGTGAGGCCTCAGATGATGCGAGCACACCTGGATGCCCTGGATCTACATCTGCCCCGATGGCGATGGCGGCAGAGTGAATGGTAAGCAGCGGGCTCTCTGTCATTCTCTCTGGGAAGTGCCTTGAGCTTGCCCAAGGTCACCCAGTCTTCAGGGGAGCTGGCTCTCCCACATCCTGTGCTGAGAATGGCTGCCTCAACTGTCCTTGGATTTGCAGGAGGGGCTAGGAGAGGTCTGAGAGGAAGTGCTCTAGAGCCCTCCCCACAACTGCCCAGTGCATCTCAGCCATGGGCCAATGCCAGCAGCAGATAGGGTGGGGGCCCAGGTGCTGGGAAGTGTGGAAAAGAGGCGCCAGCTGTCCAGGCTCAGGGTCCCCAGGTCTACAGTGACCTGGAGATGAGGGACCTCAAGGCTGGGGTCAAGAACTGGTCAGCCCAGGGCACCTCAACTGGCCCAATCTAGCAAGGCTGGGCAAACTGGGAGCAGCTCAGGGCTCTGTGATCAGGAGAAGCAGGGTGCAGGGAAGAGGACCCTGACTTCAGTGCCTGATACAACACAGGCACTGCCAGGAGCTTTGAAGGAATAAACGAACAAAGGAACTACTGGTGGAGCCACCTATACCGCGCGCTACCTGCAGAGCCTCCCTTTACTATCACCTGGGTTCAGCACCAGTGCCTGCCTGCAGAGGGCTCAAAGAGAAAGCGGAGGGGTTTGACCCAGGAAACCAGTGTTCTCTTTGCCAGGTTCAGCATGGGGGGACGGGCCTCTGAGGGTGAGAACCTCACTGAGGGCTGGGATGGGAGACTGCTGTGTAGACTCCCTGACAGCTAAAGCCAGAGACTGCAGGTACCTTGCTTGTGTAGCACATGCTGCCCCTACCCTAGGTCTGGTCCTGGCTGTCTGGAGGTCAGAAGGGAGGACTCTGGTCTGCTGTCCCTGGACACATAGGGACAGAAGGTGCTCTGGCCTGAAAGGGGTCCCCCATCTAGATCACCTCTCCTCCCAGGATCCACTCCTTCCTCCGGGAGGGCTGCCTCGTGCCTGTCCTGCAGGGACCAGAGTCTGGTCTGGTGTAGACCTGCACTTTGGCCTGGGTGGGGAGCAGGCACTCACAAGGAAAGAAGGGATTCCCAATCACTCTTCCAAACACACCCCTTCCTGCCCTCTCAGACAAAAGACACACACCCAGAGCTCCAGCCGTCACCTAGAGCCACACGTCGCAGCCACCCTCACCTTCAGATGCCCAGGGTTTTCTCCGGGAAGGGGGCGGTTCTCTTGAGAACTCAGCCTGGCCTTGGGGGGAGGGGTACATATACTCCAAAGACCTAGGGTCCAACACTACAGGCTCAGGTTTTTGGGGAGACGCTCCATCCTCTTCCCCCTCTCCATGGAACACGGGGTCCCATCACTACTCCCTCCTGGGGCCCGGTGCTGCACCCAAACCTCAGGGACCGAGTGTAAGGTGGGGGAAGGGAGGGGAGGAGGGGGCGGCTCCTCCAAGCCAGACACAAAGAGGCGTCCTTCAGCCTCTGCTCCATGGCGACGCTGGGGAGGGGGAGCGCGCATCCAATACTTCCTTCCCCACCCGCAAGGGTCTAGGGACCACGGTGACCGCTCACCTGCCGACCTTCACCTGGCCCAGGCTTACCTGGGCTGGGGCCGCGGGGACGCCGCGGCAGGGGGCCTGGGCGCCGTCTCGGTCTTCGTCCGCCCTGCCCGGGGGGCTCAGGGCGCCACAATCATGGGCTGAGGTGCGAGTGGCTCTGTGGCCCAGGTCTTTAAAGGGGGTCGTGGAGGCTTCTTGCTGGTGAGAACTATCTCTTGGTGTCCTCGGGTCCGGATTTGGGGTTTCTGTGTACCCGAGTTGGGGGGCCGGGTCCCCTGATTTAGGGGCGTTCGGAGCTGGGTCTCCGTGTCTTGAGGTGTGGAGTTGTAAAGACTGGGATCTCGGGAGGGGGCACGGCGTTCGGGGCCTCGGGGGGCAGACAGAAGAGGGAGTCTTCGCGGCACCGTGGGGAGGTCGCCGTCCTCGGCTCACGGGAGTCTCCGGCGATCCCCGCGGGGGAGACGCTCGGTGTTGGATCAGCGCCCCCTCCCCGCTTTCCTGGGGCTGGCTGGATCCCGGATGAGGTGGGGGGACCCTGCGCTCCCCGGCTGCGGGGCTTCTCGTCCTGGCCGCCGGCGGGAGCAGGGAGGAAGCCCCTCACCCACTGGGGGGCTCTGTCGCCGCCGCTACGAGCAGCCCGGCCCTGCGGTCCCGAGCCCCGGTCTGGCCCGGGTTCCGGCTGCGGACCCGGCTCGCGCTCCGCCTGGCGCTCGGGCCACAGCTCCGGCGCCCACCCGGGCTGCGCTCCATCGCGGCATCGCGGCTCCGCCCTCCCGCCGGCGCGCACCTGCCCGCCCGGCTCGCG